TCAGTTAATGGAATTGAAAATGTAATTAGAACCTTACCAACAAAGAAAAGCCCAGGTCCTGATGGATTCACTGTGGAATTCTACAAGAAATTCAAGGAAGACTTAGTGCCAACACGCCTCAAACTCTTCAGTGAAATTGAAAAGAAAGTGATTCTCCCTAACTCATTACTGGAAGCAAGTATCATTCTAACACCAAAATCAGAGAAAGACCTGACCAAAAAAGAGAACTGCAGGCCAGTCTCCCTAATGAACATAAATGCAAAAATCTTCAATAAAATACTGGCAAACAGAATGCAACAAGTCATCAAGATTATACACCACTACCAAGTGGGATTCTATTGTAATCCCAACTATTGAGTACAGTCATCCAAGAATTGTAACCCCTTTTCCAGTCTTCCTCACAATCCAAAAAGTTATGTTTATAATCCCACTGAGATGTTACAGGAATCCCGGCAAGTTAATTCCAATCTACCACCTAAAATGCAACCCATGGCGAGAGTAAAGACACCAAAATAGATCCCAAGTTAAGGGCAACCAAGGAGGCCTAAGTCCAATTCCCGTGAGGATGTGTGGACAAAGGCCTTGACCCTAGACCTCTCCCAGAATTTATTGTCTTGTGAAGAAGGAGGTAGTTCAAGGAGGAGGGACGGTGAGGATGCGGGAACTGCATGAGCAACTTGAGCTGGCAGGCCAGGTGGGGAGAAAAGTACCTCTGTAAAATGCAGAGATAAACTATGCAGAAAGATCAATTTGCATAATCCAATTAAGGTAGCAACTGTATTGTAGGTTGCTGCTTCACTTTCTGATATGTAAACTTTTGTGCCTGGGAGTCATAACCTCTTTACCTTGAGGCTCATACCCAGTTGACATTCTTGGAGCTGACTGGCTCAGCCATCCCTCTGTGCTCAGATCTTTTTCAGACAGCTCTGTGCCAGGAAACAAAAGACGTCTGATGTCTTTAGGGTTTGCATATCAGTATCTGGCTAGCCTTATTTGCAATTCTTAGAGCCAACTGATGAGAGAAGGAAATACCATAGTCAGCTCTGTACATAGCAGTATAAAGGAATAAGTCTAGATATAATCAAAGCTGCAGCAATTCAAGGGGCTCACTCAAATTGTCTCCCACAGAATTCATTCCAGGAATGCAGGGATGGTTCAACATATGCAAATCAATAAATGTAATATACTATATCAATAGAGCCAAAGACAAGAATCACATGATCATTTCAAAAGATACAGAAAAAGCTTTTGATAAAGTCCAACACTCATTCATGATAAGAACCCTACAGAAAATTGGAGTAGATGGTCTTTATTTCAGTCTGATAAAAGCCAATGACAAACCATGACAAACCAACAGCTAGCATCATATTAAGTGATCAAAAACGGCAAGTTTTCACTCTAAAAGCAGAAACAAACAAGGAAGTCCACTATCACCACTCCTATTCAATATAGTGCTGGAAACACTAACCAGAGCAATTAGACGAGAGAGAGAAATAAAAGGAATAAATATAGGAAAGGAAGCAGTTAAATTATCATCATTTATAGATGTCATGATACTCTACATAGAGGCCCACAAACTCCATTGAAAGACTTGTAGATGTAATAACCAAATACAGTAAAGTAGCTGGATACAAAGTCAACACTCAAAAATCAATAGCATTCCTGTACACAAACAACAGACTCACTGAGAGAGAAATAAGAGAAACCACACCCTTCACAATAGCATTCAAAAAAGTGAAATACTTAGGAATCAATCTAACAAAGGATGTAAAAGATCTACTCAGTGAAAATTATGATATTCTGAAAAAAGAAATAGAAAACGACCTCAGAAAATGGAAAGACATTCCTTGTTCATGGATAGGAAGAATAAACGTTGTGAAATTGGCCATTCTTCTAAAATTTTTACACAGATTTAATGCAATTCCAATCAAAATACCATTAACATACCTCACAGATCTAGAGAAGTCATTCTTAAAGTTCACACAGAACCCCAAGAGACCTAGAATAGCAAAGGCAATTTTGGGCAACAAAGGCAAGGCTGGAGGCATCACAATCCCTGACTTGAAGTTATACTACAAAGCTACTGTGATAAAATCAGCATGGTACTGGAATAAAAACAGACCTGAAGATCGATGGAATAGATTAGAAGATACAACCACAACTACAAACACACTCAGCCACTTTCTCTTTGACAAAGGGACCAAACAAGTTCCCTGGAAAAAAGATAGCATGTTTAATAAGTGGTGCTTCAAAAAACTGGCTCTCCGTATGCTGAAAACTAAACACTAGACCCATGTCTGTCACCACGTATTAAGCTAAAGTCAAAATGGATCAAAGATCTAAACATTAAAATAGAAACACTAAATCTGTTGGAAGACAAAATAGGTAGAAATCTTGATGACATAGAAGTAGGCAGAGAATTCATGAACAAAAATCAAACTGTGCAGGAAGTACTTGCCAGAATCAACAACTGGAATCTCTTCTTATTAAAAAGTTTTTGCATGTCAAAAGAAATCTTCAATAGAGTGAAAAGAAAACTTATGAATTGGGAAAAAATTGGGAAAAATCTAATTATCCCTCAGACAAAAAAACTTCTATCTAGAACTTATAAAGATTTTTTAAAAATAGACCCCTAAAACTCAAGGACCCAATTCAAAAATGGGCATCTGAGATGAATACACATTTCTAAGATGAAGAAATACAAATGGAAAATAAATATATGATGTTTAACATCATTGGTCATTAGAGAAATGCAAATTAAAACAACACTGAGATTCTATCTCACTCCAGAAAGAATGGCCAAGACCAAGAAATCAACCAACAACAAACGCTGGAGGGGCTTTGGGGAAAAAGGAGCTCTTCTCCTCTGTGGATGGGAGTATAGACTGGTGCAACCACTGTGTAAATCAGTGTGGAGATTTCTCAAAACACTAGGATTAGAGATTCCATTTGACCCAGCTACCCCATTGCTGTGCATTTTCCCAGAAGAACTGAAAACATTTTACCACAGTGATATATGTGCACCCATGTTTATAGCAGCACAATTTGTAATAGCCAAATCTTGGAAACAACCCAAGTATCCATTAACTGAAGAATGGATTAAAAAGATGTGGTATTTTTATACAATGGAGTACTACTCAGCTATAAAGAAGGATCACATTGAGGCATTTATAGGTAAATGGATGTGGCTTGAGACTTTACTCATAAGTAAAATAAATCAAACTCACATGTGTAAATACCACATTGTCTCCCTAGTGTAAGAAACTGAAAGAGTAAATAAGATACAAAATCTTAAATAAATATTGTGAAAGGGTAAGAAATTGCTCAAAGGGGGAAAAATAACTTGTATAGGGAAGAGGAGAAAAGAAGAAAGGGAAAAGAAAATGATATAAATTTGAATGCATACATTTAAGATAACTAAGATGATTATATGTCTAGTTCTAATAGTTCTTGGAACAAAACACTAACATTCATGGGGTTAGATCAATTTTACATGTTTATGTCTGGTAATCTGAGTAACTCTTTTGAAGATAACTATGCAAAATAATGACTTTGCTCCTACCACCTTGTTTTGAAAGCCTATATTGTTGTTGTTTTGGGTTCTTCTTATTTGTCTTTTTTGTTTCCTGTTTTTCTTGTATTTTGTTTTGTTTGTTTTTCCCTCTAATACAGAAGGGATAGATATACATGTATTGGCTTATCTTAATCTTCTCCTAAAGAAGTTCACAAGAATTGATTTTATTATGTGTGATGGTATTAACACTTCTTAGAAGAAAATGAGACGTTATGGTAGCCATCTTGTTTTGAATTCCAATAATGCCTTTGTTCTTTGTTTTGATTGATTTTAGTCTGTTTTCTATTATTTGGTTTCAATATGGGTGAAGGTATGGACAGCTATTTCAAAGAGAACAAGAGACATTATGGTAGCCACTGTTGATGTCCTGTTGTCTTGTTTTGAAATTCTGTGGTGGTTGCATTGTTTTGTTCTATCTGTTATGTTGTGCTCTGTTTTGTTTTGTTTTATTCTCTTTAAAATAAAAAAAATAGAACCATGAAATGTCAGTGCATATTAAGGAAATGTTACTGTATTACTAAGCACTTTGCAGATGTGAACTTTTAAACTTGAGTTTTTAAGGAGTTTAAAAAGCAATAAATAATAATTTCTTCCATTTATAATGTGGGCCCATAAGTTTAAAACCTTTATGTTATGGTGTCCCCATTCAAAGGACAAGGAAAGTGAAGTCAAAGAAATAAAAGTAACTTTATAGTGGGAAAAACCTGAAAGATGCTGAAACGGACATATAAAAATTAATGGGCAAGCCAGGTGTGGTGGCGCATGCCTGTAATACCAGCACTCAGGAGGCTGAGGCAGGAGGATTGTTGCAAATTCAACACCAGCCTGGACTAGAGTGTGAGCCAAGGCCAGCCTGAACTGCATAGTGAGACCCTTCTCAAAAAGACAGCTACTACTACTACTACTACTAATGGTGGGTAGTGGGCATAGTGACCCTAACCTGTATTCCCTGCCACTTGGCAGGCTGAGGCAGGAGGACTGTGAGTCAGAGGTCAGCCTGGCAGCTTAGGGAGATCCTGTCTATAAATAAGGAATCAAAAGGGCCGGAGGGGCGGATGCTTGGGTTCAGTCTCCAGTTTTGTAAAAGCAAGGGAGTTCACCTAGTATAGTCGGCCAGGATGTCGGCCTCTTTCATTGTCTTTGAGCTATTTTTAGCTTAAGACAAAGGAACACTTAGCAAAGCAAGTGATCCTTATCCACAGGAATGCAAAGCAACTCTGTCCCGGCTTACTTCCCTGTGGTGTCTGTGGTTTAGACGCGTGTGCACCTGTGCACCTGCCCTGTGAAAACGCGTTTTCTTCTGGCCCCGTCCTGAGTCTTAGCAGCTCCCTCATTTGTTACTGAGTTTGATAAAATCACAACCCCTGTTCACTTTGTAGCTGTCCTAGCCAGGTGACACCACGATGACAGAGTGCCACAAAGGGTGTTTGTTAAGGAACAGAACTTTATCGGCTCATGATTCTGGAGCTGGTGTCCAGTCAGCGAGGCCCAGGCTGGGAGGCACAGGTGCTTTCCACCGCCAGAGCGAACTGAGAGACGAGAGAGGGGCCCGCTCCCACCATGAGGCATTAACCCCTCAGAGCCAGAGCTCCCGCGGCCCACAACCCCAAAGGCCCAGCTATAATGCTGTTTCCATGGTGATATACACACTTTTGAGGCACACTGAAACCAAAGCAACATTTTCATGCTTTTGCCTTTTTAAAACCGCTCTGCTTGACTCCCAGGTGTGTGTGCTCACAGCTGGAACCAGCCTCCCCAGACTGGCGCAGGCATGACCCACAGGCCTCTTTGTGGGTATTCATTTTAGTCTCGGAGCTCTTTGCAAAATTCACGAAAGCAGTGAGCCCCTTTTCTCTGGGAAAACAAACACACAGCCATGCAGAGTTCTGCACTCTTCCGAGATTCCTTGGCCTCCCAGAAGCTGGGTAATAAGGTCTAGGAGGGAGCTCGGGCTTAGGTCAGCACAAAAGGCTAGAAGGGGCCTTGGGGGAGGCACGCTTCTCGTGATGTGTGCCAAGCGCTTGCTACGGGTCTGAGGGCATCAGCTTGTTTGTGCTAACAGTCACCGGGAGGCAAGAGGTCAGGGAAGAAGCACATAGGGAGGGTGGACCATTGTCCACGGTCACACAGCCAGGAAGGTTTCTAAAGCGATCCCTTTGCTCCATGGATATAAAACAAAAATCCAAAGGGAGGAGGCAGTGGCCTCATGGGATGCACAGCCACCTCTGTGGTGACTCGATGACTTCTGGTCACACTGTGAGCACAGCCTGTGCCCTGGTTGGCTTGGGCCAGATACCAGCACATCACAGACACTGAAACAGAGGCCCAGAGGACTAGTGGTAAGGTTACTGGAACAGTGCAGGCTAAGAGCTAGCTAAGAGCCGGCTCCCTACTCCTGGGCAGCCCAGGATCGGGGCCTGCGGGAGATTCCTAGAGGTCCTGATTGCTGATGGCCCAGCCTCGGGGAGAGGCCTCATCCCAGCAGCAGGGCAGGGGCCCCAGCAGCCGCTTCCCCTGTAGATGTGAGAATAAGGATATCACTCCACAGAGGCACAGTGGATCAGGCTGTGGAGTCACTGGTCCATTTTATAGACAGGGAAACTGAGTCTCAGGCAGAGAGGCTGTTCCTGCAGGGTCTCCCTGCGGGAACACAATGAACTAACAGAAATCTTAGGCTTTCCAGGACCGAGGGAGGTGGCTTCCAGCTGCCTCTGCCCTGTGGAAGGTGGCGGCTCTGGAAAGGTCCCTGTCATCATCCCCATTGGCTGCACGATGATGCCTTCCCAGTCTAGTGGGACAGACAGACACCAAGAGGCCACTTCCATCCTGCCCTGTGGTGCCACGTTGGAGCCCAGAGGCACAGCCAGATGCTAGCCCCGACCACACAGGAGAACCCAAGGCATGGTCTCTGTCCAGCTGTCTGTGAGTGTGTTGCAGCAAGTGCTGAGTGGACGTGAGGCCCACAGACTTCTTAGTCCCTCCACGGCCCCTGCCTGTCCCGGCTTACGGAGAAAAGGGTCCCTGAGGTCACTTGTGCACTGCTTCGGGCTCAGGAGAGGCCAGAGGGGCAAGGACTGGTGGGAGTCACATAGCCACTCCCAGCATGCTCTTGCCCGGCCATCCACTGTCCTTCGTGTCACTGCCGCTGCGGTCAGCATAGCAAGCTGGGCTGTGAGCTGATTTTCCCAAGGTCTGGGCACTGCTGGCAGCACTGACACAGCACCTAGGTGGAAGTGGTGCAGGTGCTGTCCCACCTGGGAGGTGGCGGTGGCAGGAGGTAGAGGCCGTGTGCACAGGTGTTTTGGATGGGGGGCCCCAGCAGGGGCTGCATCTCCTGAGGGTGTTGCAGCAGGAAGGCAACCCCGGCAGGCACCCAAGCGGGTGCTGGGGGGCCATGAACAGGCAGGGAGCAGCCCCAGGGAACAGCTGGGCAGTGCAGTGTGGTGGCCGTTGGCACGGAGCCCTGTGGGGAGAGGCTGAGCTCCAGCGCTGCCCAGGCCTTAGATTTGGGGCCGAGGCTGTGGGGGACAGCAGTCACCATGGGATGCTTAGGGCCTAGGCTGGGGACCCCTCAAGTTCCGGGAGGCACAGCAGGGCTTTGGCCTCAGAGGGCAGTGGCGTCTGGTCTGCTCAGGGCTGCACTGCCAGGTGCCGCACCCATAGGCCCTCAAGGTTTAGGGAGCACTTCCTGGTCCCCCACCCTATCCTTGCCCAAACTGTTATGGCCCCAAGAGACACAGGGACTCTCCCCGCTGCCCACAGATGTATGTGCTGGGCTTCACTCTGGCCATCCAGGTCTGGTTCTTTGCTCTGTGACTCGGGTTTGCAGACCTTGTCTGAGGACCCAGTGGCTCTGTGGTCGTCACTCAGGGACAAGGATGGGAACTTAGGGCCAGTGCTTGTCTGGTGCAGACCCCCTTGGCCTGGGCATCACACTCAGCCCTGAGGCCCCCATGGCTGGGTCAGGCTGGGATGCCCCAATGATGTTCCCACCCACCAGCAGGTCAGGCCACTCACAGCCACATCCAGGTTCAGGGGCAGGGCCGAGGCAGCCTTGCCCGGCTGCTGTGGGGATGCCAGGCCGCCCATCTTCTCTTGTTTTCGCCGCTTGGCACGCTGATTCTGGAACCAGATCTGTGGATAGGAGAGGCAGAAGGTGGGATGCATGCAAGGGGCTTCCTCCACCCCACACCTCTCCAGCACAGCAGCCACCCAGCCCTGGACAGAGCAAGTCTGTGACCCAAGAGGGGATCAAAAATTCAGTGGACGTTTAGGTTAAAAAGTTATTACAGTAACCTTGCGATTGACCTGCCATCTTTCTCTGGGTAAGTGTCTTCATCATCATCCCAGCACCTTTAGGAAGTGTGGCCAGCAAACAGTGTGGTGAATGCTGCTGCCAAGTGCCACCCAGCAGAAGTCAGGCTCACAAACACACGTGTACTTATCTGCCTTATTCATCAGAGCTGGCATTGCAAGACTGGCTCTTCCTTCAGGTCTGAGTGACCACAGAAGGTGAATATTCGAATGGATTCAAGACATGGTGGCAGCCAGGACAGCACAACTAGAGACATTTAGGAAAGGGGGCTCCGGAGCTGCTGCAGGAAGCAGCGAGAGCAGCGGGATGAGTGTGTTAAAAGTGAGGGGGAGAATTTTGAGAGGGATTAATGGTAATGTGTCTTTTACCGTAATAAACATTTTATTTATTTCCTTAAAGAATTCGCTCTTTTTAGGTAATCACATTTCCTCTTTTTGATCATAGCTCATCTTGGGAAATGGGCTACAAGCCGCAGGAAGCAGAGCTCAGACACAGAGCTGGGTGGACTCAGATGCCTGGTATCTACCTGCTCCAGGTCCACCCAAGAAGGGACATGGCTTAGAGTGACAGTGACTTCCCTACTGGAGAAATGATCCTGGGCCAGGGTGGCCATGCCTGAGGCTGGAGCCAGTTAGGGTTTCCTGGGCCCCTGGGGATCAGGAGTCTGTGGCCCAGGGCCCTGGTGGGTAGAGGGTGACTGTACCTGTACTCGGGCCTCTGGCAGTTTGATCCTGGCAGCCAGCTGGCTGCGGACGTGGACGTCAGGGTAGTGGGTAAAGTGGAAGATCTTCTCCAGCTCCTGCAGCTGCTCTGGCGTGAAGGTGGTGCGGGCCCTGCGTCGGGCCCTTCTCTCTGCTGTGGGAGAGGCCCAGGGGTCAGGTTGGGCCAGGGCCACCCTCTTGCCGCTGCCCAGCCTCACTCTGGGCAGGGACCCAAGTCCTCTTTCTAGGACACCCTGCCTGGTGCTCTGTAATGCCCGAGGCCACATGATGCCTGTCTACAGCCCCCAGAGATGCCTCTGCTCTCATTCAGGAGCAGCAGGGTCATCATTGCAGTAGAGCCCGAGTGGCCATTAGGACTGAAGCAACCACCTCCCGTTCCTTACAGAGAAGTAGGACAGCCCTGGTGTCAGGCACTGGGTTATGGAACTCAGGCCTGACGGCCTCGAGGTCGGTGTGACCTGGCCCAGGGAACTGGGAAGCACGTGAAGGAAGGCGCATATCTCTGGCTATTGGCAGAATGCTGCTGACCCGACACTCCTAAAGCAAGATAGCATCTGCTGAGCAGGTTGTACAAATACAGACGTCCGGGCCTAGAGAAAATCTGGTGCCTTGTTAAGCTATTCCTTATCTGCCAATTCTCTGTACTGGGGCTCCATGAAGCACATGCTGACCCTTCCCTGCGCATCTTGCTTGCTAGTGAAAGTGGTCAGCCGTGAGATTGCTGTGCTTGTCCACTGGGGGCAAGTTCTTCCTGGTCCACTTTACCTTAAATTTTGTCCTTGGTCTTTCTGTATTCCCCGCCATTCCCTGTGCAGGTATCTAGGGATCTGATCAGCCTCTGGCACTCGGCTGCAGGCTGGGTTACAGTGAGGTTTCTGCTGCTGATGGGAGCTGTCCAGCCATCTCCTGACCCCGTTCACTGCCTCCCATCCCTGTTTATCCTGTTTCACTCAGGGATGACAACATCACTTGTGTGCCTCAGTTCAAAGTGCGTTTGGGACCCCTTGCTCTAAAAGAAGCTGAGAGCTTTCCCATGTCTGGTGACTGGTTGAGGCGGGTTCCAAACAGGGCTGGGCTGCCCTGAGGCTGGGGATGCAGTGCCCAGTAAGGAAGCTGGCTTCTGCCTGTCGCAGCCCCTGGCTACTTTCCATCCTCTGCAAGGTGGAGGTGACTCCAGGCAGGGCTGGACAGAGTGGATGGAGAGCACACCTGGGCATTAGGGGAGGGGGAGGGTGTGGTTAGTTGAGGCTCCAAGTTCCAGAGCCGCATGGTGCAGTCATGCTCACAGAGCAGATGAGGCCCAAGGTGTGCACTGGCACTAGGGCACTGGCCCCATCCAGGGGCCTCCTCTGGGTCGCACCATAGGCCAGGATGCCTCTGCTGCCTCTGCCTGTGCGCCTGGCCTGTTCACGTTGGTGTGCTCGCCCCCTCTGGGCATACCGATGTCACACACTAGCTCTTTCCTGACCACTCCATGGTCTGGGGTCTCGGCTCTTGCCTGCAATTCTGGCTCCCATAGCTGCTCTGACCCCTGAACTCATTTTCATGGCCCCTGCCATCCCTCTGGCCTTCCCAGCCCTGGTGGGACGGCACTCGGAGTGGTTATGCCACCTTGGCACAGCTTTTCCTGCCCAGGGCCAATTCTCTCTGGGCCAGCACCCCACCTGTTGGAAGCCCCTTTCCATACTTGCCAGCAGCCATGGGAACTGGACTGATGTGGCCAGGACTTAATGGGACCTGTCAGAGTTGACCCCTGAAATCTTCCTGTCTTGGAACTGGGCTGGAGACAGTCCCCAGACATAGCAGACTTGGGCACCTCGATCCGTCAGCCTCCCTCCTGTCACATGACTCAGACTGTGGGCAGCAGGGTGCAAAGCAGACTTGGGGTACATTTGGGAGGGCAGCTGCCAGGGTGTGTTGGTGGATTAAATCTTGGCTAGCAGGGGTTGGGAAAAACTGTCAGTTCTGATCTGAGCAAGAGGACATGTGTGCAGGTGGGGCATGTTCACATATGGGGACCTCAAGGGTTTGCTCTGGACACACCAAGCCTGCAGGGCAGGTGGCTGTGTTTCGAGGCTTGTGGCTCAGGAATGCAGCTCAGGTGTGCGTTGGCCCTTGATGTCCTAGGAATGATGGGCCCTTCAGGTGGGGAGTGTGGTGGAGGAGAGCAGCCAGGTAGACTCAGTGGGAGGCCAAGAGCCCTCCAGAGGGATGGCGGTGGCTAGGGGTGGGGGCAGAGGGCTGTGGAACATGAGTACAAGGGGATGCATAGTGTTTCCCACATGGTGCAGCCAGACCAGCTGCAGCGGGGACAGGAAAGTGCTCCTTGCAGAGTGACTGCACCTGGGAGCCCAGCACCTGAGGGCCGGAGGCATGAGGACTGCAAGTTCAAGTCCAGCCGGGGCAATTTAGAGACTGAGCGAGGCCCTGTCTCAAAATAAAACAAGGTCAGGGATGTACCTGTGTGCAAAGACTCTGGGTTCAGCACCCCAACCGAGAAAGAAAAAAAATATGCTCCTTGCACCCAAGTGCTTGTTTACAGAATGAAGAATCAGATAGTGTTGGTGGAGCTCTGGCTGGGGCAGCCGCAGTGGCAGAGGCTGGGGGACTGGGGCTCTTGGCTCGGTTCCCTGAGCTCTGAGGGCAGGGTCACGGCTCCAGCCTGCCTGAGACACAGCCTCTGCGACAGCGTTCTGGGGTTGTGGAAACAGCACAGATGGATGTTTGGGTCCACTGGCTTGCAGAGGGAATGCCCTGGGCTCTAGGAGATGGCCCTGTAGCTCCCTTTTGTGATCAAACTGCTCTCAGATGGTGGTCGGGGTTCAGGTACCTCCTGGCCCTGGGGTAGCTCCTATGCACAAGCTCAGGAAGTAGCCACCTGCCTGTCCCTCTCTACTGCGGGTAGGGGGCAAGTGCAGCTGGTGGCCAGCACCCAGGGAAGGTTAATGCAGTTGCACTGACAGTGACAGGGAGATTCAGGAGCGGAAAGTCCTGAACCACAGAGAGGGCTCTGTCGTGTGACGCCTTGTTAGCTGTCTCACATCCTGCAGGACTCAGAGGACGGCAGCAGTCAACTGGAAGGGAGGGTAGGGGCTGAGAATCGGTATGGATACTTGGGAAAGCTGGAGATGGCCCAAGAGAGGGAAAGGGCAGCTTTCGTCCCTCCCTTGGGGCTGTTATGCCATTGCAGAGCAGAAAACTCCTGCACTGGAGGCTGAGACCTGAGTGCTGGTCCTGATTCTGCTCTGTAATTGGGCTACGTCTGACCCCTTCTCTAGCCCGTGTCCACTCTGCAGTGTGGAGGAGGAGACTGTTGGATGATCTAGTGGCCTTGGTCAAGCTGGCCCTCGCCCCCTGAAATTTGCCTTTCCCAAGAGGCTGAGGAGCTCAGGGCCAGGCTGGGCCTTGTCTGGGGACGTTGCTGGGAGGACAGAGGCCCAGAAGGAGACCAGGTCTGCTGCCACTGCGGCAGACCCCAGATTTGTGGTTTTCTGGGCCCCTCCTCCCAGCCCCCACTCCCATCTGGTCTTGGCCCATTTTATACCCTCAGAGCTGGTTTGCTGACTCTTAGCGGTATTTGAGGAGGGTGGACAGTGGGGTTTTGGGCTCCAGTCTCCACGGTGTGTGTGGTGGTGGTGGGATTCTGACCTTTCCTCTTCTCGTTCCCTTCCCTCCCTCAAGTTCATACTGCTTTTAAAATTTTGCTTTTAAGAGAGGCGTCCTGTAGAGCTAGTTGTGTGCTTGAGGAATGAGGCTGAAGCCAGTCAGAGAGGACGGTGTCACCCCTACCATGTCAGTCAGTGAGCAACTTCTCTGCACCCAGGCTCCGAGAGGCACTGGGGCCCTGAACAGGGCTCGAGTGACAGTGTTCACTCATTCACTCGTCCACAGTATCTCAGATGAGCACCACGACAGAGTGCCGTGCTATAGAAAGCTGCCAACACCAACCTGTCCTCGGGGTGGTGGTGGATTGGTTGGCTATGTGTTGCTGAGTCTCCTGGGACTCAGATCTGAGGAGCACAGCATGCTGGGTGTGTCAGAACCAGAATACAGAGAACAAGACGCTGTGGAGAACAGAGGACTAGAAAGAGAAGGTGGGTGTCATACTGAAGAGCCAGTGGCTCTATTTGCCAGGAGGAGACTTAGGCACACAGGAGGGCATGGCTCAGGATGGACTCCTTGACAAAATAATTATTTGGGGCCTTGCCATTCTGTGACTGGGAAGCAGTTACCAGAATATCTGTGGGTGTCCTCATCCCAGCAGGAAGGGAAAAGCACCATATAGTGGTGGGTGAGGATCTGAACCCTGCTTGGTCAGTTTCTGACTACCAATGTCATGGAAAGGGAGCTTTGGACAGTCAGCCCGTTAGAACAGTGACACTAACAATGCTTCCCCAGGATTAGGGTTTGTCTTTGAGTGTGATGGTGATGGTGATGGTGAGGATGGTCATGATGATAGTGCTGATGGTGATGATGATGATGGTGATGGTGTTGATGACAATGGTGGTGATGGTGGTGATGATGTTGATGTCAATGGTGGTGATGGTGATGGTGACGGTGGTGATGATGGTGGTGGTGGTGAAGATGGTGATGGTGTTGATGACAGTGGTGGTGATGGTGATGTGTTGGTGGTGGTGATGGTGGTGATGATGTTGATGTCAATGGTCGTGATGGTGATGGTGGTGATGGTGTTGATCATGACAATGAAATAGTGAGAGACGTCTAAGATTCTCCTGTTAGAGAGGTGTAGGCTACCCTGTGGGAGTTGAGAATATCTTTTCCTAGATTCACTGTGTTCCTGGGTATCCAAGTAGATATCTATTTTATTTTATATTTTGGTACCAGGATCAAATACAGCCTTACTCTTGACAGGAATGCGCTGTGCCATTGAGTTGTATTCCTGGCCCCAGGTTTCCTGTTCTTATCTAGCCCTCGTCTGCCAAACAATCTGATCCAGAGAAACATGGAAGGAATGGTGGGAGAGGGATGCAGAGCATCGCCATCCAGTGAGCAGACCCTAGCATGACCTGAGACCCCCTACGAAGGCACGTGCAGGAGGAGAGACAGGCTTGGGCCAGGACGAGGTGTGATGTGGTGTGAGGTTTGGTCCACAGAGCCTTATTGTCCACTGTG